GCCAACCCTCCTACGGCCCCTGCCGGGCCCTGCATGTCCCAACAACACGGCGTACCTTTTCACGTCGTTTCTGCTCCGGAGGTGGAGGACTACAAGCGGCTCCTCTCGAAGCCGGTCACCGCTCCCCGAGACCTCGATTGGGGCATACTCGACGACCTTCTCATCTCAGAGGATGTCAAGCGATACCTGGAGCTGCTCGGTCTCACGGTATTCGAGAATATTGCTCTGGAGACCTTTCCGAAACTCACCCTCGAATTTTTTAGCACGGTTGCCATGCACGATAATGGGAAGTACCTTACTGCTCGGCTGAAAGGAAAGGAATGCAAGGTCACTGATGCGATACTGAACGGGCTCTTCGAGTTTGGCACTCAGGAGGCAGCACGGCACAGCCCGATGGGGTGGAAAGCTGATCCTTATTGGCCCTTGATTTCCCCTTGCACATCATTCAAGAAAACGGGGGATTCCTCGGGATGTATCACCGATGTTGCCTTGGGGATAGTGCACAAATACCTCTGCCACATGATTTTTGGGAAACGGGAGTCAAACAAGGTAAGCGAGCAGCAAGTATTTATTCTGTGGTCCATCGCTCAAGGGAAACCCGTGACCATGGTCCAATACCTCAAGAACTCCCTTTTTGATATCCGGCACGATATCCGGCGTGGCCCAACCTTGGGACACATTGTTACGTGCATAGCAAAGTATTTCAAGGTCCAGATTGACGAACCTGCTCTCGCGTCCGAGTTTATTACCGAGAGGGACCTCTCCAATGCCGGGTTTATCTATGACCGTTTTCACATTCGGCCGGTGCACGAGAGGAAGAGCTATAAGAATTATCTGGAGGACCTACAGAAGAGGGGTCTTGCTTCCGAGCCTTCCCACAATGCCGTCGGTCCATCAGACGGGCAACCGGATCATGAGGCATTTCAGCCACCTCCTGCGACCGATGGACCCTCTGAGGCATTCTCTGAGCACGCTCCGGCTTGGTTCACCGAGTTCCAAACTCGGAATGACGAGCACCTGCGGTCCATTCAGGCGGACATGATGAGGTACAATGCGAGTCAGGAGGCTCGGTGGAAGGCGCATGACGATGAGTGGCGGGCGTACACTTCCACCAACGATGCTCGTTGGACGGAGTTGAACGCAGCTATCACGAGAAACGACGATCACTGGACGGCTCACGATAGCCGATGGGACGCCTGGGAGGACAAGCAGTATCAGCAGCACGACCAATGGAACACCCAGTTCGGCCGATGGGACACCCAGTTCAGCCAATGGGGCACCCGTTGGGGTTCCGGGAGCACCGACCCTCCACCATCACCACGGGACGCACAGTGACTTGTCACTGTGCTTTGTACGTTTTTCTTTTCTCTTCTCTTTTGTTTTGTGTTTAGTTTGTTTTGCTTTGCGTCGGTTCATTATGTGGTTTGACTCTTTCTCACTTGTGGTCGACAATGGGGACATTGTTCGGTTTTAAGTGTGGGGGAGTTTTTACATTCCTATGTGACTATGTGGTGGACCAGTCTAGTTTTTTATTTTAGGTTTCTGTGTGTTTTCAGAGTCTGGACTTTGGTGTGTTGCAAGGCTTTTTGATAATCGTTGGTTTAATTGAGAAGATGTGATGATGAGCACGAGTAATATATCTTTAATTGATTGGCTTCGTTGTGTTGAGGATCATATTTACCTTGTGAGGTTTGAGCCTTATTGTTTCTTGTGTGATATTGGTTTGAATCTTGTTAATTAGAATTTGCCTTGAGTCTGCTTTGAAATAATTGGATTAGATTGATGTGACGTGAATATGATTGAGGCATTTCTTGTACTCTCTTTTCCCTTTTCTTTGTCGAGAATAATAATCACTAGTCATCCCCTTTGAGCCTTAATTGAATTTTCTTGTTAACCTTGTGATGAAGATGTTGAGTTGCGGGTTGGGAGTTGGAGGTGACGGTTGATTGCCGTGTAAATATTTATGTTGATTCGATTTAAAAAAAAAAAAAAAAAAAAAAAAAAAAAAAAAAAAAAAAAAAAAAAAAAAAAAAAAAAAAAAAAAAAAAAAAAAAAAAAAAAAAAAAAAAAAAAAAAAAAAAAAAAAAAAAAAAAAAAAAAAAAAAAAAAAAAAAAAAAAAAAAAAAAAAAAAAAAAAAAAAAAAAAAAAAAAAAAAAAAAAAAAAAAAAAAAAAAAAAAAAAAAAAAAAAAAAAAAAAAAAAAAAAAAAAAAAAAAAAAAAAAAAAAAAAAAAAAAAAAAAAAAAAAAAAAAAAACCGAATGGATTCTACTCCAAGAGTTCCGTCCACTAATGTAGTGGATATGAGCTATGAGTACGGAAAACCGGTCTAGGAGACTCGGGCAGAAACCCGAAGGGTAAACCTAGATAATAATGTCCAATAGGTTTTCGAAAAAAAAAAAACGAAAAAACAAAAAAAAAAAATAATAATGTGTGTTGTTTGGGAAGTACGTGTTCTTGGAGTTGTGGAAGAAACCGGTTGTCATGGTGAAGTGATGGATTAGATTATACATATTGAGCCACTTAGCCTATATTTATCCTACCCTGTCCAAAGAGCCTACGCTACATCCCTACAAGTCCTCTTGATTCGCTGTCTCATTTATTTGATTGTTTTAGAGTAAAAGTTAGACGATAGGCAAATTTATGATTAACGTGACTGATGACCAAATTTGAGTGCACCTATCTTATATTTTGGGAAAGAAACTGAGTGAGGCATATACATTTGCATACTCGAGAGTCTTTGTTCCTCAATATGGCCGAGCTAATTATTGAAGTGTGTTCTTGTGTTCATTGGAATTCTTCTCAGTTCGATTGATTGGTTTGATTGGTCTTGCGTGAACTATATTGTCCTTACTCACTTATTTGTTTTCTTTTCTTTCCTTTTATTTGTGTTGTTCGGGACGAACAAAGGTCTTAGTGTGGGGGAGTTGTTAGTCCCACTTTTGTCACTACTTTTGTGGTATTTTGTTTATCTTTCTTTTCCCACTCTAGGTTGTTTTGTAGGTTTTTTCCGGTCATTTGAGTCATTTTGTGCGTTTAGTGTTATTTCTGTATTTTATTCGTGTTTTCGTAGTTCTTTCTTCCTATTCTCTTGTTTCCGTGTTTTCTCGGTTGGTGTTGGTTTCAGGTATTCGACACGCTGCTCTAGGATCGTTCAGCCAGTCGTGCAGACCAGCATGTGAAGGACAATGTTCGGGCTCGGGTGGAACCCGGGAGTGTACGAGACAGTCGGGAGCTTATAAGTCGACCGGGGAGGTTAGGCGAGCCGAAACGGGACAAAAAGCTCAGGGACCTAGTCATATACTAGCGAGATGAAGAGAAAAGGCGCTGCTCAAGACCCTAGCGCCGTTAACAAGACCATAGCGCCGTTAACCGGACCCTAGCGCCGCTAACCCATCTCTAGCGGCGCTAGCTACTAATTATCAAAAGTCGCTGCTCGATCGTTAGCGCCGCTAGCTAGAGGCTAGCGCCGCTAACCCCCCCTAGCGCCGCTAACTCCCCTCTAGCGGCGCTAGTTACTTCTTATCAGATTTGTTTCGCGATTTTATTATAATTAGGAGTAGGGTTTGTTTTAGAAGGGGGGCAGAGACTTATTTTTACGCGTTTTTGGCTGGGGAAAAACACTGCTATCATTGTTTGCTCTTGGGATTCGATTCTAGAGATTAAAAACCTCTACTATCTTGCTTTGGATTCGGATACTATTGGATTGAGTTCAGAATTTTCATTAATCGTAAGTATTTTTCTTCAATTCTTTCGTTGATGATGATGTCTTGGGTTATGAATGTTTGTGTGATCAAATCCATTATGAGTAGCTAAATCCATCTGCTAGGGATAGGGGATAATTGATTAGGTTCAATTATAATTGCTTGTTCTTAATTGCTCATATCTAAGCGAGTTGAGTTCAATTTAGGGTTAATAGATTGATCACCTATATAACCTAGTTAATCATTGTTTAGAACCGAAAGGGGAGACATTGGTCGATTTAGGCTCGTTTAGAATAGACTTGTTCGTCAAAGTATTGTCTATGAATTGCTGGAATTGATAGTCAATCGTATATGTTCACTCTCTTGTTACGAAGAGTTATTGAGAGTGAACCTCTAAACAAGAGACGATTCACTTCCTTTAACCGAGCAATTGATTGCCGGTAGTTGTGTAAGAACCGAAAGCAGTTGTCCCCGATTCCCTAGCTCTTTAAATTCTCAGTTAATTCGTTACTGTTCATCTCGTGCTTTATTCAATTTAAAGTTGGTAGTTGATAATTGAAACCCAAATCATTGAATTAGAGTGTTTAGGATTTTTATCTTCTTTTGTGATTGAATAATCGAACAAAATAATCCGGCTGACCTTCCTTGCGATACGACCCGGGGAACGAATCTTTCGATTCTACTCCGGTTAAAAATACTGACAACAAAATGGCAAAGAATATTTTTTGAGTGCATGAGTTAATATATTGGTTTTTATATAGATTGCTATTGGTCCTTGAAATTGTGTTGTATTGGTGGTATCGATTTTTGAACAACATTTAGAGATTAGAATGTGTTTGATGATAGTGTAGTTTGTGAATGAATTTATATGTAATTTAATAGTTAAGAAAATGTTTAGATTATCCAAAGAAAACTGAAAAAATACAAAAAGTAAACACCAAATGGATACATTATAAATTAAAAACAATTAAACTTGCTAAAAATATTGTGTATTAAAACAACTACTAAAAATAAGTCAGTTATTCATATTAAAACCATCAAATTTTTCACAATTATAATATAGTTTAGAAATTCCATAAATAAACACATAAATTACACAAGTTCATTGGTACCTGATAGTCAATGGTAGACATGAAAAACACTACAAGTAAAATACATAAATAAGTTACTCAGTAAAATATACTATAAGTAAAATACAAAAATACCACAAGTATTCCTTGAACACACATAAGAATTGGAGAAAAATGTAATATCATACATAAAAACACCAAGAAATAAACCTGATAACATACAATCATTCAAAACATGTCCAACATATTCCATAACACACCATGCCCAAAAGGAGAAACACCAGGGTTTAGTTTGTCTACATAGCCTGACAAAAAATACATGATAGAACAACAATGTCAACCAAACTCGTTAAACATCAAATTCAGATGCTAATTAGTATAGGGAAGTACTAGCAAACTTCGATAATTTGCCGGCAACGGACCAGGCGAATCATCTTCACTCTCGGAATCTTTTTCCTGCTTCATTTTTCCATGTGTGTACAATAGGTATGAAAACCTTGACCGCTCGATATCAACGTCAAACGTAGCAGCATTGATGGGCTCATTAGAAACAATATACTCCGCAAACGAAGCAACGAATACGCCACAATCACTGGCAAGTATGAAAAACAAAAAATACAGAAAAAATGAATGTAATTAGATTTAAATAGAAAAGAACTATTAAAGTTATAAACTATATTAAAATACAACTTACCAGAATAGCTGCTGGGGCAAATCTTCCACGAAAATGACATCAAGAGGATCATTCTCTGCCTTTCCCGAGTATGGACCAATGTTTTTCTTTATGTCAGCACGTCTAGAGACAAATTTTACCATAGCAAGAAATATGGGGATCAATATGGAATATCGCTTGACACTCTCTAGCACAACCTGGTCAAAATCAGTCGATCGACAGGAGTTATAAATCATCAACGTTCTAGTTGCGAACGACAACCTCCCTAATATCCAATGGCCAACACCTTCTAACTCAACATGAATCGGAAAGAGTACGTAATCAACATCGAGCCATGACTCCCCGCACAGAATTTTGAATCCAAACATGTAGTCGACAATGACACTATCGATCGTACAAATCCGGGGCTCACATGAGTTAACAATGTATAAAGAATATAGTGATTTCATCTGCTGGTCGAAAAAATTATCAGTGGTAGTAAATTTCTGAGAAGGTGGTTCAAGAGCATACAATCCAATCTTTCGGATGTAGTAGAACAAAACATCAATATGCTGAAAAAAAAATATTTAAAAATTAGAACGCGAAAAAAGGAAAAAGGATGAAGACAAACACAGTTAAAATGATACTTACACTACCATCAAGGAAACAATTGGATTCATACAAGGTGAAGAACCAATTCTTATCCGAAACCACGTCAACATTAAAATCAAATGGGGGGCTTAAGGTTGTGTTCTTCTTGTCATAGTACACGAACCTTTCAGAAGATGAATTAAATATAAAATAAGAAGAATGAACAAATGACGGAATGTAATAAAAACAACAAAATGAAAGTACATACCCTTCCTTTTTCTTACGCCGATTCTTAAGTTTACCCACTTTCAACCACTCAACGAGATCCGAAGTTAAATCAAACCGCATCGTGTCCCAAAAATCAGTGTCAAAAGGGCATGACTTACAAATAACTTGTCTTTTTTTTACACGTTTGATTTTCTTAAATGGGATGTCGACCACCGACACAAGATCATCCACATTTTGGTTACCCTGTATACCAATATCAAGACCTCCAATAACACCAGGAGTGTCCTTCATTAAAGAAACATAACAGATCAATAGCTATGCATAAAAATAATAAGTTATATACTTCGAGGAAAACATGAGGTTTACTTTACGACATCGAAAGGTAAGATAAACTGTGAATAAACTTTTTGACTTCAGTTCAAGGAAAACATGAGGTTTACATTTAGACATCAAAAGGAAAAATACACTACAGATAAACCAACATAAAACCACGGATAACCCAACAATAAACCACAGATAAACCACACATATATATATATATATGTATAACCACAGATAAACCAACAAAAAACCATAAATAAACCACAAAGATATATATAAGTATAACCACAGATAAACCAACAAAAAACCACAGATAAACCACAGATATATATATACGTATAACCACAGATAAACCAACAAAAAACCATAAATAAACCACAAATATATATATATAAGTATAACCACAGATAAACCAACAAAAAACCACAGATAAACCACAGATATATATATACCCACAGATAAACCAACAAAAAATCACAGATAAACCACAAATATATATAAGTATAACCACAGATAAAAAAAACACACAAAAAAGTATATACACAAGAGTAAAAGTATAACAAAATATAAACCAACAAAAAACCATATTGAAACATTTTCATGAACAGTTGTAAATATAGAAGTTATATACACAAGAGTAAAGTCATATTACATTTTTGTTGGCAGTTAGCATGCTTTTTAATTTTCCCTCGGTCGTCCTATCAATCTCATCCATCATTTGCGGGGTCAAAACAGGGAAACCATCAACATCGAAATCTACATTATGTTCACCATTCCCTTGTACAAACTGAGAAACATATCAACCAAAATAAAAAAAGGATTACTGATTTTAAATGTAGACTTAGTTGTGATCATAGAAATAAAATCAAATAATTACACTTACATCTTCAGCATCAACTTCCTTGTGGATCCCAACGTTTTCTTGATGACGACTACTTTCTGGAACATCGTTGGGCTTAGCACCTTCTCCATCATTTAATCCCTTAGAAAGTAAACACAGTTAACTTAGATAAAAAATAAATTATGAAAACTCTGATGATACAGAATAAATTTAACTTAGATATGTTATGTTAAGAAGAAAAAATTGTAGATTGAGCATAAACCGTTCGAGAAATATCTTGGTTATCCACATCATGGGGGAGATCTTGTTGTTTACCACTTTCTTCATGCTGATACATAGTTAAGTGAAAATATTAAAAAAAGAAACACATGTATTCCATGTATATATATATGTAAAAGTAAACCAAAAATAGACCAATTATAAACTTACCACCATTGTTTCTTTAAGACTGAGTATCTCATGCATCACTTTAGTCGAAAAGTCAGTAAACAACTTCTTCAAATCATCCAAATCATTCATAATCTTCACTTGGTTTGAAGACAACTCGTTTAAACGTCCTATAAAAGGAGACTCAGTTGCACCAGGAACAGAGAATGTAGGAGTACTTTGAGATTCATTACGGATGAACTCGTTCCTTTCGACAAAAAAACCGTCCAGCTGAAGGATCGTCTTCTCCGATTCGGTGGGAGTTATATTTTTGAACTGTAGGGATTAATACACATTAAAAAATAAAACAACTTAAAGCAATGTTATGAAAAGATAACTTAATAGTAAAATATTAAAATAAGCAACTAATAGAAACCTTATCTGATGGCAAGGTCAAGAAAACCCTCTGGATGAGTCGTCTACCACATCTCATGTGTGCCTCCCAATTTAACATCCGGGGCACGTTAGGAACTGAAAGACGGGTACATATGACTCCATCTGTGCTATCACACACCTCATAAAACCACACCTGAAGCGATAGAATAAACCCACGTATCCTATAAAGATATACTCTTTTTTCAGTGCCATCTAATTTCTGAAGCAAAGACTCCTTGTTACGAGACGACATCTTTAGATAATCAAGGGTGTAGTCGTACACCTCTTTACCCCACGGATAGTTATCACAATCTTGGCTATCAAGAATATCTAAGAAACACCTATCAAACAAAAGATTATCCTGAGCACCCATGAGAAAATTCGCGAGCAAGTGAAGCTTGGCCAGTTTCACTCCATCATGGTCATTTATCCACGCTCTATTAAGAAATAGACATTTAATAGATTGACGGTTCAAGCCAACATTGGCGAAATATCTGTCAAAAAGACCATCAGGGACGGGGGGATAACAAAGCTTTTTACATAAGCCATTACAATTTAGACCACTTATCACAGCGAACTCCTCAACCCCAAATCTCATGATCTTCCCACCAAAGTCAAACCACATTTCATCCAACCTCGGTTGGTGTACTTCTCGTAATGAAATCAAATTGACAAGTTGATTCTGAATCTTATAATGAGGTAGGTCTATAAATTTACCAAAAGCAGAATTTCTAAACACCTCCAATTGATCGTTGGATAACAAACGCTTAATGTCAGCAATAGGTGTGGTAGAACGACTGTTATCATTGCTGTTGATTATCTTCACGACCAATGCTCTTGAGTTTGGAAAAAGCAATTCCCAATCCTAATGAAAACAACAAACAATTGATACCAACAATAGCAGTAAAACATATAGAATAGATCTAACGAGTTTATACAGACATGAACATTAGTACCAACAATGGGATTATTTGCTTGTCAACATAGATAGCAACAATTTTTGTGAGGATCAACAAATAAATCAATTAAAAAAAAATTGGACAAAATTAAAGATAAATTATATGAACACTGATACTAGGAAAAATACTTCTAAAGGAAAAAAATACCTTGTGTTCTCTTTGGTGTTTATTCCTGGCATCTTCATCTTCAAACTCGGAACAACTCGATTTATGCCTATGTGTGTTGCCCTTGGACCTCCTCAGTACTGATTTGTTAGCCTCAGAGCTATCCTCACTTTCTTCTTCATCCACAGGAACACATTGTTCAACTTCGAAATCAGAATCGATGTCATCTGGATATTTAACCTTCCTCTTCCCATTAGCATCTCCGTTTCGCTCCATAGCATTCTTCTGAGAAAATCGCTTCTTCTGAGCACTGGAACGAGTTATCGGACATCTGACATGCGAGTGTTCTCCAACACCTTTGGTCTGCACATTCTTCTTGCCAAACTGAATTTTCTTTTGAACAAGCCTCCGACGGCGCTGAACTTCAACTTTCCGATGATTTTGCTCCAGATTTCCTTCACCTCCAGATGAAGTATCAGAGACATAATTTTCATCCTCAACTTTCGCCATTAATTCATCTGCACAATTGATTTTTGGATTTTACTTTGAACAAATTAGGGAAGAATGAAGAAAAATGGTGAGCATCGACATCAATTGAGATCTGCAATTTTTGATATGAGTGTGGGCAGGAAACGTGTTTGAGAAGAGCCGAATCTCGAAAGAAAAATCTTGAGATACGGTTTTATTCACTTTAATTAGCACTAATTAATCAGATTCCTAAAGTGGAATTGTACGTGTACTAATGTCGTATTTTCTGACCAGAGAAAAGTTAATTGCGAAGATTTTTTTATTCTCATTAAAAGGGCAAAATGAAAATATTTGTACGTCTCGGGGGTAATTTTTTCTTTAAAAAAGGCATGTCAAAAAGCAAGCCTAAACGGGCTGGCCCGCACAGGCTGCGTTTTTTTGCCAAACGGGCCAGCCCATCAATTAAAACAAACGGTTTTAAATATTAATTTGTAAAATACAACGTCCAAAACGCCTTTGGCCCTTTGCGCTTAACTCTAAAAATCCGCAATTTCCTCTTTCCTTTTCTAGTTTATAAGTACAGAGACGAACAAAAAACATTATTAAAAAACTTCTCTTCTCCCCCAAATCACAGAACCCTAACTCGTAAATTCAAGCGCGCCGTTGTGCCTTCCCGGCGATTTGCCGGCCCTTTTGCCGGCGGATGGCTCGCGTTGCACCCTCAACCCCTTATCCTTCTCTTCTACCTCTCTTCTCCCCTGCTTCGACGGCGGATCTGAGATCTCTTTCACTGGTGGAGGCCTCCGCGGTAAGGGTTCCGGGCCCGTTTTATCAAGGATAAGCCCGCTTTTGGCTCTGTTCTGGTTTTGGTTCGCTGCTGGCGGGCTCAATTTCGGAGCTTCCGGTGGTGGGCTCGTCTTGCATTGGGAGGTGGAGGTTCGGTGTTTGGACGGGATTGGGGATGGCTCTGGCTGCTCGGCTCGCCGGAGTTGAGTGGGCCGGGGCTGAGGGGGGTCGTTTTCGAGCCTCCTGAATTCCCCGTCGCTGGTGTTGTGACGTGGGGCGTCCGGCTTTCCGGACCTAGGCTAGTGGTGTTGGTCGGGTCTTGGGAAGCCGGAATGTGTGGGGGGCTGGCCAACACTCCTTCTGCTGCGGGTCGGCTTTCACTTCTTGGATTTGTCCAAGGCCTTGGATCTTAGCTTCAGCTAGGCGCAGGTTGAGGTTCATCTCTGTGGGTGCTTGTCTGTGATTCTGCTGGTTCCTCGTGTTGGGACTGGTGCTATTGCTGTGGGAAGGGCTATCCATGTTTATGTTCTTTAGTTTTGTTATTGTTTGTTATTGTTTGCTATCCATGTTTAGTTTTGTTCGTTATTGTGTTTTGGCTCAGTAAGCCCGAGTGCCACTTTATTATCCTGTGGGGACCGTGCACTCGGGCATTACCCTGTGGGGGCCGTTTTTAGTATTTTGTGTCATTTTGTGTGTTCCCGAATATTACCCTGTTAGGGTCGGGTTTTTAGGCGGTCTTTTGACCTGTCCTCCCATTTTATGTAGTTGTTTGCTGGTTATATTCAGCCAACGGCTGTTTGTATTCAGCTGGTGGCTGCTCTTTTGCACAGTTGTGCGCTTTTATATAAAATTTCTATCGTTTTGATAAAAAAAAAAAAGTACAGAGACGAACCACGAATGCAAAAGAGTGAAAGACCGCGACAGAAAGAGAGGGAAACCTGACGAGCGGCGAGCTGCGAGCTGCAAGGCAGCGGCACAGAGAGAGACTCGGCGAGCGGCAAGGCGGCTTCATTCCGGTATTGAAGGCTGGATTGAAATTCTATCGACGTAATTACTTCAAACCTATGTGAATCTACATGTAAACTCTTTTGTATGGTAATTCTCAATTGATTTCCTTGTGATTTTGTTTTTAAAAATTAGATTTTTTTCATTCTTGGTATATAATAGTGAATCTTTTTACTTCATCTATGAACTGTGTTGAAATTCTTCCTGAAGCGACCTCAATTTTGGGTGCTGATTATTCACTCAAAATTTGTTAGTGCTGTTAGTGGACATTTGAATCCGTGCTGTTTGATTTCAATGTTAATTTTTTATTCAATTTTTTTTACCAATTTAATTGTTGGACTTCGTTGATGCTTGATGGAGGTGTATGTTACATTTTTTTTTTTTTATGCTCCCAGCCCCAGCAGGTAGAGAAGAGTGCAGCCCCAGCCCCAGTTTTTTTACCTTCTTTTTTTCATAGACTTGTACTTCCTATCTTTCATGGCTGACGGGCAAATAGTGAAGCGTGCCAAGTTGAAGTCTTCAGTCAACAGCCTTGGCATTTCTGGAGTCCTTAGAATGGTAATTTAATCTAGGACTGTGTTGATAATGTTGGCTTTGTGAATGTCTGCCGTCCTATCTTTTTTCTTTTATAAGTTACATTTTTTTTTGTAAAGTTGAATTCTTTCTGGGTGACCAGTGGATGGCGATGTAACTCGGACTTGTAAGCATGAATGTTGCTTTTATTGATTAACATATGCTCTATTTATGATTGTTACAGACAACAACAACAACATACCCAGTATATTCCCAACAGGTTGGGATCTGGAGGTCAGTTGTACGCAGACCTTACCCTTGTAATTAACTAATTATACAAGGATACAAGGAGGCTGTTTCCGTAGCGACCCAATGTGCATTGCGCCGTTTGATATATTTTTTTTTTTCTAGAAACTTCACTAATAGAAGAAGCACTAGAATTTAATTGAGCCATTTTGATCATATATTTTTTATGATTGTTACAGACCAAGGAAAGATTTTTCTTTAGTGGAAATGATCCGACCTCCAAAAACCTTAATGTGGAGTTTAGGAATATTAAAGGTGAGATTTTCCATTCCTATGTCAACTTAACACTCAAAGACATTCATGTTCATGACCAGATTATCTTTTACCATTTTTTCAGGGCATCAATTTAACAAGGTGGGTTCCAATAAACCAGCGCTTCTCAAACTTAATCAACACCAGGTTTGTATTGATTTACATAGAGTTTTGCACTCTACAATTTCTATCAAACGAGCTTGTAGCTTGTAGAGAAACTGATAGCTTCTTCGACATCTTTAACATTTGAATTTTGAACTTTATTCCAGTTAATTGGATACCAAAGAATCAAAACTTGTTTTCCTAAATATTTCACCAAATTCCTTTGCAATGATGTTGTGAGCATTTGTTTTATGATATACTCCCTAAAATTCCTCAACGTTTGAATGTCTGTTCCTTGGTTTTTAACTTTATTCCAGTTAATTAGATATGGGGGCTGCTCGCCCAGATGTACTCTCAGTTTAAAATTCTCTCCTGTGTATTTGTTGAGGGTAGATTGGTAAAAGGAGGTGTATTCATTTTGGATTTTTAAAGATTTTGAGAATTTAAGAATCGTATCATATTTAACTTGGAAAGTTAATAAATTTTATAAGTTTGGAGGTATTCATTTGAGATTTTGGAAAGTTTAAAAAAATCATGAGACTCTCATTTGAGAGTTTGAAAAGTTTAGAAGTATGATGTTTTCAGTTTATTAATCACTTTCTAGATTTGTGTTTTTGACTGTATTTATTAAGATTTGTTTAGATTTTTAAAAACAAATACATGTACGAAATCCTACCATCAAACGTATTCCCTAGACTTTAGTTTCCCACGATTTCAGTTAAAAAATATTATGATAAATCTTATAAAGCCTCGAATCTAAAAAGTCCTAAAATTTTATAGTCTTAAATGAATACATCCCCAAAAGCGCTATGCGTAGCAACTTGCACTTTTTATATCCAATGTTTCTTCAAAAGGCTTATTTGGTGTTAACCGGTCTTTTCTGAAATTTGTTCTTACTGCATTGAATTTTCCTGCGATTGAATTTTTGTATATTAAATCTGTGAGAGGTTAGGCAAGATGATTCTCTATTTCACTTCCCTTATTCCCTTTTCCTCCTCCTTGTTGCTTAATATCTTTCCATAATCAGAATGGCAAAAGGCTAAAGCCGAAAATGGCCTTAAAGAATGAAATGTGGACTCCTTTATCGGATGGTCAGGTACGAGACGAGAAATAAACAGTGCAACTTCTTTGTATGTTATGTTTGCATGCAACCTAATTGACTTTTTTTTGCTTTCCATTTTGTAAGTCTAACAGAGTTACAATCAACTTGACTCCAGAGATTATCCATCAGGTACATTTGCTCCACACCTTAAGAACTAGATTAATAATTTTGAGATGATTGGAGATTGTGGATTGTGCATAACTTGTCTTTCCGTATATTAGGTCAATTCGATGTTTGATATTCTTAGCTGATTAAACATCAATCGGAAAGGCTTCTAAATTTGTGATAGAAAATAGAGAGCGAATAATATTAAATAAAGGGTTTCTTATAAGACTTTTTATTAAAAATTAAGAAATGTATAGAAAATAATAGGAAAAATGTTGTATTAGTAAATAAACATTTTTCGTTATTAACCAATGCTGTTTCTCTTGAAATGTATAACAGTACATAAGTTCTTAAAAGATATTACGTTTTAGTATGGATAAAATAATAAATGAACATTTGCCAAAGCAGTATATCATTAAACAATTACATGAAAGCTGATAGCTTTTTTTTTTCTTTCCTTGGGCCTAATCATCTATCAAGAGTGGAGCACAATTTCGTCAATCCACTCAATAAAGAAGGCATTAGAGAATTATGTTCTCAGTATTTGCTTCCATTATGAAGTGAGTGATAAATGATATGTAAACTTTTTTCTGCAGATATTTGCTGAGAAACCGGCTGTTCGGCAAGCATACTTGAAGTTTGTACCAAAAAAGGTTTGTTAATTTATAAAGAAAAGTTTTAAATCAATACAATTGAGTATTAAAAGTTTCTGTAATTCCCCAGATGTCAGACAAGGAATTTTGGACGAAATTCTCAAGAGCTGAATATCTCCACTGACACTAAAAAGGTAGTTGTTGTTGCTGCTGAGGCTGCTGAAGATGAAGAACTTGCCATCTTTCTGAAGAAAGATGACATATTGACAAAAGAAGCTCGTAAAAAGGTTAATATCCCTTTTGCTAAGAGAGAGGATGTGTGTGTAACTGATTCTAAAGTTGTTTTTTCATATATTCATGTGACTTCAGTTGAGACGTGTTGATCCAACTTTGGACATGGAAGCTGATCTTGGCGACGATTACATACTACTTCTGTTGGAATCCATATTTTGTAATGTTGTAATAATGCATTTACAGGTTTATTAAACTTGTTGAAATTTAAAACGGTGAATAATTAGGATCACGGCTTATGTTGTGAAGAGAGTAAGGATGCCCTGGAGACACAATATGAGCCGTACAGAAGAGACTTCTCACGAGACCTCAATCAGCATGCTGCTGTTGTGCTTCAAGGAAGAGTACTAGGTAATTGAACTTTGTGCATATATAATATTTCTTATGGTTTTATAAAGAGTGAACCCTATTTATATGAAAAATGCTAGGACGCTGTTGTTATAATATTTGATCCATAGCACTATAATTATTCACTTAAAAGTTAATATACTTAATACTCCACCACATATAACAATTGCTAGATGTTTATTTCTAGAAGGTAACATTACTAGATGTTTATTTCTTCATACTTATAATTATGTTTGAGTTTTTCATAGTACATAAGATATTTCTTGCACTAGTAGGATTCTTCAATATGTAAGCCTACTCATTTTACTTAACGAAGGTTAGATAAGAGATCTGATTGATTCATATTTCCATGTGTACTTGGTATGATTATTTGGATATGATTACTTAGATTTACTTTAAACTTCTAACTTTTAATATCATATTATTTGTTTCAGTTCATAAAAACTCACATTTTAATTTTCGGATTCAAATACAAAAATGTCTCATACTAAGAGAGAGATGCATCTCTATACATGTAGATCAACAAAGAGTATCATGTGTGGAACTTTGGTCATGTGTAGGATCGACCATTGAACCAATTACTCTATTGTCGGTTGACGCTGATGGTTACCCGCCTTTAGCCCCTAATTATTCATTATATTTTGTTGGTTTGGTTTTGTTTAATTTGGGCTTGTTTATGAAAGCCCACAATGTTAAAAGTTGTTGCATGACCTAGCTATATATAAAGCTAAGATTGTTATTTTTGGACGATCTTAAAAATCTTATTTCTCATAAATCCTTGTGGTAGGTTTCACCTGATCGTGGAGAAAGGAGTTTTCACGCACTCAATAGCGTGACGCTAATATACGTGTTAAAATCATTAATTTTAATATAAGGGACATCTTGTAAATGATAACCATAATCGGTAACCATATTTTGTCTTTAATACACCTAGTTAACGGTCAAAAATTAAATATGTAATACAAGTAAAGTTGTTAAACGAAACTAGTCACTCAAGAGTTAACTTCTACTTGTTAAAATTTGAGCCTGAGTTCGAAATACACTAGTTCGAACTCGACTCAGCTTATTTACACCACTCGACAAAAAAAATCTAATACGATTTTAAGAGGATCATAATCCTCATATTATATTCCGAATTGCGAATAAACAGTAAGCCTGCAAACCATATGTATTATAATGTTGGGTTGGATTTAATATAATTGGGTGTGTAGGCTGAATTAGTTAGGTGAGCTGGCTATGTGGGCTAGACTAATTTAGTGGACTGGGGTAAAACACAAAAACATCAAAAGATACATATAAAATAAATGGACTGTTAGTAAACTTACCCGGGCTATAGCCTAGGTGCTTCAAAGCGTAACTCCGCCCCTGCTTGTGTCCATGTTTGCACCGCATCAAGTCATCTCCCCATACAGTCCCAATTTCATAAAAAACAAAACAATGCGGAAAATCAGATTTTGGGGAAAATGGCCATAGCGATGTCGACGGTGATCTGAATCCTGCCGCCGAGAACGTTGTGTTGAATGGAGGCGTTCCCCCTTTCCTCGCGTTCGTCCAACCACCATTCGAGCAACCATACCCAAATCTGCTGGAGGGAAACACATTGTGCTGATGGCAACTGGACATCCAAGTGCAGGGAAGATTTCCAACATCCGTACGACTTTTTCGCAGTTCAATGCTCAGGTTATCGTCGTTCTTTCAGAAGACAGTCTGAAGTTAACCTCGCGAACGATATTGTCTCAGATGTTCCCGGTGTTCTGCGATGTAGATCAGAAATCGTCTCATGCTAGGTCCATGAACCTATCAACCCTACTTGAGTGGGCTGAGATACTGGTTATCGCTCCTCTTAATATATTACTTATATGGCTTTCTATTAATACATAATTGCCTTTGCCCTAATTCGTATTAAATTGATTTAATTCTGATATGAAGTGAGTTTGCTTGTACTGCTGTCGTTTATGATGATATCGGTTTCTGTTTTTAGGTATTATTTATATGAATACATAATTGCCTTTGCCTAATTCTGATATGAAGCGAGCTTGCATGTGCTGATGTTGATTATGATGATATCGGTTTCTGTTTTTAGGATTCACAGTGCATGCTATTGGTTTTATTCCGAGTCCTTAGCCTATAGTGGAAAGTAAACAAGTAGAGCCGAGCCGAGCCGAGCCGAGCTCGAGCTTGAGCTTAAGGTGCTGGAGATCGAGCTTGAGCTATGAATAATAATTAAATCGAATTCGGGCAAACTCGCTTCATATCAGAATTAAATCGAATTAGGGCAAAGGCAACTATCAATTAATTAAAATTATACCTTGGCCATATAAGTAATATTAAGAGGAGCAACCACCAGTATCTCAGCCCACTGAAGTAGGTCTGATAGGTTCATGGACCTAGCATGAAACGATGTCTGATCAGCATCGCAGAACACCGGGAACATCTGAGATAATACCATTCTCGAGGTGAACTTCAGACTGTCTTCTGAGAGAACGACGATAACCTGAGCATTGCACTGCGAAAAAGTCGTACAGATGTTTGGAAATCTCCTCTGCAGTTGGATGTCCAGTTGCCATCACCAGAATGTGTTTCCCCTCCAGCAGATTTTGGTGTGGTATCTCGAACGGTGGTTGGACGAAATCGGGGAGAGGGGTAACGCCTCCGTTCAACACAACGTTCTCGGCGGCAGGATTCAGTTCAACGTCGGCATTGCCATTTTCCGCCAGAACCTAAATTTCCGCCATTGTTTTGTCTTTTTGAATGTGGGAATGTATGGGGAGATACTATGGACACAAGCAGGGGTGGAGTTATTTTATATGTATCTTTTGTCTTTTAGTCCAGTCCACTAAATTAGTCTAGCCCACATAGCCAGCCTACCTAATTAATTTAGCCTACACACCAATTAAATCCAACCCAACATTATAATACATATGGTTTGCAGGGTTACTATTTATTCGCAATTCGGAATATAATATGAGGATTATGATCCTCTTAAAATCGTATTAGAATTTTTGTGTCGAGTGGTGTAAATAAGCTGAGTCGAGTTCGAACTAGTGTATTTCGAACTCAGGCTCGGATTTTAACGAGCAGAATTTAACTCTTGAGTGACTAGTTTCGTTTAACAACTTTACTTGTATTACATATTTAATTTTTGACCGTTAACTAGGTGTATTGTATTAAAGACAAAATATGGTTGCCGATTATGGTTATCATTTACAAGATGTACCTTATATTAAAATTAATGATTTTAATGTTAATAATACATGTATTAGCGTCACGCTATTGAGTGCGTGAAAACTCCTTTCTTCCTCTTTGCTGTGGAAGTCAATGTGAAAGGTAACTCTGATTTCGGCATTTGTGGTTTATCGAATTCGGTTGGTTGATTGCCCTTATAGGATGCAAAGTTTCCTTTTTGTTTATTTATTTTTAACCAATAACTTGTAATTCAGGCCACATCATCATTACTGTGAGATAGAAGCTTGGGTATGTAAGTATTTAAAAGAAGCCTGGATACATGACAGAATGGTGGCTTCTGCCCAGGAAAATTTACATGCAAAGACTGCAAGAGTTGGTCTAAGTCTGAGAAGTAAGCGAATTTTTGCATAGCACTTTTTTTTTTTTATCCTTTACTTATCTTCTTCTTCTTTTTTTTCCTCCGTTTTCTTTTCTTGACCGAATCGGATCTTTTCTTTAACTTTTATGTCTTATTCCATATCCCAGGTTCATTCGTGATCCTTATTTTAAGGCAGCTTGGCTAGAGGAATCTGAAGGTACATCTTGTGAGCATCGTAGGATAATGGGCAATGTAAGTGGCCGGAAACTTTCCATGGAATTTTGTGAAGAAATGATCATGTCCTTGAACAGGAGGTTTGTGAATCGACGTTAGTTACAGAAAAGCTTTTGTGTGGTACTTTTTTTCCTACTCATTCTCGGGCTCTCTCTCTCTCTCTCTCTCTCTTTTTTTTATTTTTTATTTTTTTTATGTTCACATATGCTACATAACACAGCCAATGCCATTGCCATTGTGAACTGGGAAAATTATGTCAAGAGGATTTTGGAGATGGACACACATGTGCCCCAGGGATTAGTTTCACGTTTGCGTGATCTCTCTTGAAAGCTCTCCTGGTTGTCCGGCAGCATCTCCATCCTCTCTAGAGGCAAAATGTCATTCGCAGGGTTGGTTAATTTATTTCATTTATTTTTAGAGTCGAGCCCATCTTTGAATCATTTTCAAGATTTCCCCATTTTGTTTGAAGAAAAGAGGGAAGCAAGCAAGGCTTAACTCAACTCGTCATTTGTTAGTTAGTTCTTGCATGCTAGTTGCTTTTTACATAATGCTGTCCTAAATGACTTTGTATAAGATCCAGGAACTTTTCAGGATATGAAAAGTGTTAATGTAGGCAACATATCTCTATTGGTATCTCCGAGCGATAGTCCAGACAGGATCAGACAAACAATTCGGTAAATTTTTTCCTCTTAGAAACTGATTTTTGATTCTTTGGTCATCAGACAAATTCTTTACCTTTTGGATTTTTTACGCAGGCTTCTCAGATCAAGTTCTGCGCAAGAGGTTAGTTAATTTCTAACTTATTTTCCTTTAGCAGCATCCAATGCTTTCGACTCTTCAAAACAGGAAACTTTTTGATTATACGTACATTTACCTCACAAGATGAAGACATCTTGAATGATCTTTTTTGCTTAATACACGATTAGGAGGAGTTGATCGGGGAATATGGTGAAGAATGGTGGCATTCCCCTGCATTGTATGTTCCTGCACTAATTGGAAGGCAATATGAAAGGTAGTCTTCCACGAGGTTCGATGAATTATCACTATACGTCGTACTTTTGTTGCAACATTAGAAACTAGTATACATTTGTTGGGACCTCTGTGTTCTCCAGACTTGGGGCTGTAAACGAGCTGAGCTTGAGCTCAGGGTGCTAGAGCCCTTAACGAGCTCGTTAAGTAGACGAGCCAAAAATCGAGCTCGCTTATGATTATTAACGAGCCCAACTATAGAAAATTATATAAAAATTCTCTATTCGAGCCAAGCTCGAGCTCGTTTAATTTAACATCACTCTTTCCATGAATAAAAGAAAGTTTGTGTTTCATTTTCGTGTTCCTTCTATTGTTTTTGTTTTTTTAGTCTGCCCTACTAAATTACTAATGAATGATTGAATTCTGCATTTCCATGTTATTCATGAACTCGTACTCAGTTCGCGGTATGATCCTTATCAAAAGGAAGCTACAGCCCGCAAATATCTAAAAGAAGCTCGGAAACAGGAGAAAATGTTGGCTGCAGTCTATAACCAAAGAACTTACGTGCGTGAGTTGTCAAGTCTGAGACAGATTTTTCGAGCAAGGTACACGAATTCATATTAAGCTTCAATAAAGGCAATATTTTTTTCTAAAAGAAGTGTTCCATTCCAAATGTGAAGAAGATCCGTATTTTCTATTCTACCGTTTGGTTGAGTTCAGGGAGCGCCGTATGCCGAATATTGAAGAAGTTGTGACGGATGAATATTTTTCCGAATATCTTAAGCTCAACGACATGTTGGGCCTGGTATGGGCCCAGCGATACGGCCTGGAACTATTCGCAGGGGTGGCCCAGTGCTTGTACGGGAGGTATTGTGAAATCCTGACTTGAATCTAATTAAACGCCAAATGTTGGGACTGACAATTTCAATGTGTAAACTGCAGTAATTCCATGGAGGATGCAGAGAAGGAAACATCAGCGTCATCTTCTTTTGTAGAAGAAAAGTGAATGTGGTGGCTAATGTTGATGATGAGGAATTTGAATTTATATGGGTTTGTGCTTTAATGACTTCGCTGGACTTTGTGCTTTTTTAGTGACTTTGGTGGACCTCTTTTGAGAATTTCATAAGATTTTTATTGCAGACTTCTTAAAATTTTTATTATACATGTTTAAGTTTATGAAAAATTTTAAATACTTACAGTATAACTGTTACGTTTGGATGAAATATTCATGAATGCATAATAATAATATCAATAAATTAACCAGTAACTCTTTCTTAATATATATATATATATATATTGAATTGAAATGATCTTTGATAGTAAATAATGAAGAAAGAAAATAAAAATCTTAATAGAAATATAAAACTGTAGCATTACAGTTGTGTAAATAAAAGATGAATAAATAAATTTTCTAAATAAAGATAAATAAATTAATCCTTTAAAACTGTCATAACCCGTAAATGCTGTGGATTTTACTGCAGATTTTGCCATTGCACCTAGAACCACATATATTCTTACACTAATATTCTTTCCAAAAAGAAGCTATCAATCAGCTAAGGCATTTTACACTCTACAAACATGTATTATGTGATGTGTATACATACATGTATATTGACAAATATAAATATACATCATCATCCTTCAATCTAAAAATGCCGCAAAAATTGTTATGAGCCGGTACATTATTTGGCACCCATGGATAGATGAACTTCTTTCTCTTTGCAGAGGTACACGAGCTCGTGCTCTGGCCCATTACACCGCTTTATCGATGGTTGATCTTCGGAAAAGCATTCCATAGCAATAGAAACCCTCAACATCAAGTGTTTTACTTTACGAGTTCTATAAAAAAGGAGCAAAAAATGTATATCTCTCTTTCGTTGCATCCAAACCTCCAAACTCGGGTAAATCACAACCCACAATCTCGTTTCGCTAGAAATGTTATACAACGTAATGTCGAGGGGCAAACCCACGGGTAGACCTGTAATGAAAGGGAAAGGATTTTCGAAACTATTATTGCTATTTACTTCAACTTCCGCCTCATAGTATTCGAGATAGCAAGGGCTAGTAATGCAGCTGTCCTCGGTTTGTGAAAAACTAGCTTTCCTTCAAAAGAAGGCTCCAAGTAAAAGTTTGGGCAGAAATAAGTTAACTAGTTAAAACTATTTTCACAGGATTCTAACACACATGCACAACCTCAAATTTGAAAATTTAAACAAAAAAAAAAAAAAAAAAAATCGGTATAAAAATTCTAGCAGACGTGTTAAAAAATTGTTAACTAATATTTTCCTGTGATATTGGAATTGTTGTGGCCAATTGTAGTATGCTCGTAAGTATTTTGTTCCCTATCATATAGCATGAAGTTATCTAAGGTAAAGATTTTTGAGATAATTGAACACTTACTAACCTCCTGAGAAACTTCACGTATGAACCTGGTCACAAATTTTCCATGAGTGTGACTGACCGATTTCAAACAAGACACAAAATATAACCGCCTCATCCTGCAATAGTTGAAGAAAAAAATTAAAAAAAAAAACTAACGGTAAGATAAATGGATCTGTCATATTATATGTGCATTATTCAGAAATGATGGTGGCCAAGCTGAGTACACTTGTCCAAATTGTTATATGGAAGAAGTTGAAAGAGGTGAGCGTGTGCCATTGCCTCAGAGTGCTGTTCTAGGAGCTAAGGATCTGCCAAGAACAATTTTGCAACGTTTATTTGCAAAGTTGAAACAAGAAAGGATGGAGAGAGCAAGGGTACAAGGCAAAAGTTATGATGAGGCGATCCCTTTTACTTGATAGCATAATGTATTTTCATCTTTCAATTTTCCATTGACTGATTTTCTTCATCAGTGCATTGAACCGATGGTTCTGAATTTGCCCACCGAGACAACAATAATATTTTGAATCATCCTTTATCAGTTTCAGTAGTATTATGACCTTTTGTTATTATTCTTGATAGTTTGATGTTAATTATATGATTATGCCACTTTGTCAGGTTCCTGGAGCTGAATCAATTGTTATACGAGTGGTGTCATCTGTAGACAAGAAGCTACAAGTTAAAATTAACCACGGTTTCTTGAAATTTTTCAGGAAGAAAACTATCCTGTTGAGTATCCATACAAGTCCAAGGTGTGTCTTATGTGTTCATGCAGATTTCCAGCTATAAGATTATGATGCCCCGATTTAGCCCACTTAGCTATAAAAACTTTGGGACAGATTACACATATTTTTCTGCCGAATAAATTTAACTTTTTACTGATGTTATGGGAAACGATAGGACGGATGCCTATTAAAATTTGGTTGAATGTGAAACTTTTTACTGCCCAATGATTGCTGAGCGTGTGAATTCTTGCAAGAGATAACTGGATTGCTTGCTTTTCTAATATTGTAAGAAATTTAACATATCGTATATCTAAAACTGGGATTGTCTAAAACATTGATTCCTGTCTATCAGGTGGTGCTATTGTTTCAGAAAATTGAAGTATGCTTATTTGGAATGTATGTTGAAGAATTTTTAGACACTTTTATATGATAACATCAAGTTCATGAGTTTTGATAAAGCTTTGATTTCCAGCAGTTGTGAATACCCACCTCTATTGTCCTGATGCAGCCTTTAGATGCTGCTTTAGAACATTATGATGAAGATATATTAAAGAGAGGTGTTAAAGGGTGGACAAAATTTTGTTAGTAAACATACATTTATTAATCCGTAAAAATTATTGGACAATTTTTTGTCGCCATCTGCAAGTTCTTAAGCAAAATTTATAATTTACATTTGCTTTTACATCTTTTNAACAATAAATACATATGTATCAACAATAGAATTATACATTTTTGAGATAATTACACCATGAAAAATATCATAAACAAAAACTATGGCATTTTATAAAATAATTATACATTTTTTGTTAAAGAAATATGACGACCGTTTACTAAATAGTTTACTATTGAATCACACATACTCAGATGTGTGTCGATTCAAATATTGAAAATAGTGCTCTAATCAGTAGGATCGAATTTATCTGGATTCCACATAAAATGACTACCTAATTGATACACAACATGTTACATTACTTCATATCCAACAAGAACAACAAAATTGGACTTTTCCTCATAAAAAAAAAAAAAATATTGATGAATTTGCACCCCAAATCATACGCCGAAATTATTCGGCATTCAATTTATCAACCCAACCACCAAACTTGCTTGTTTATTAATATATTGGTATTTAATTGAGTTATTTTAGTTAATTAGAGTTAATTTTGAAAAAGTTGGTACGATTAGTTGTTACTGAAATTTTACATTTGTATAAAATAATATGTAAAATAAAATAATTAAAATTGATTTGGTGTAAAAGTATGAGATAATTGATTGGAAATGATAGGTAGTTAAAAACTATATTAGTAGATGAATTCTGAATTAAAGTGGATGTGATGTATAATGATTGATTAATATTATTTAATTATATTATAATATTGAAGATATAAAGTTGAGTTAAGTTTTGAGTTGATAATGATATTTTTTTTTTCTGAACAATCGCAATTGTGCACACACACCTTACTATTATTATTAACACACCACACATATTAACACACCACACACAATTTCGCGATAACATTTCTCTACATAGACACCCTTTCGTAGCTTCACTAAGGGCATACTTATTTACAAATTAATTTACTCACATTTAATTCATACTCAAAATTTAACTCAACATTAACTCTTACACATCACATTAACTTTAATTCACTATTCATCCACTCACATAGTTTTAACTACATATCATTTCCAGTCATTTTCAACTATTTATCTCCTACTTTTACATCAAATCAATTTTAATCATTTATTTTAAATATTATTTTAGCACACTCTTAAAATCTCATTAACTACTAACCATCACATTTTTCAAAATTAACTCTAATTAACAAAAAAAAATTCATTTTGAACGAATTATTTGATAAACAAGTGAGACCTAAAATTCATCGCAAAATTCCCTACACGTCCTTAGCCAAAAAAAGAAAAAAGTAAACCACATTTTAGTATGCAAGTAAGGTATCCAAAAGTCCACCGAGTTTTAAAGTCTTTGTCTTTGAACTCGTAAATTGTATATGAGATGCCTTAAATTAAGGCACTAGGTCACGTCTTTTAAGTTATAATCTTTAAGAAACAGATAATAACAATAAAAATGTTTAAGAAACAAATGTTTGAGACTTTAGAATAGAAGTTTCGCATGAAGAATAAACGACCGCGTGGAAAAATCCCATCAAATGCGCTGCCATGTTTTAACTTGAACATTTGAGTAACTTGGCTTGTTTTTCCAACCTTGTATTTATGTGCAATGAGTGGTATTCGGTAAATTATGATCTTTTCCCTCATTTGTAAGAAAGAATTATCCAATCTATATACATACAAATAATAATATTTAGGGGAATTGGTTATGCTCTTCAACTTTTAATTATATCTAATCTACTTTAAACTTGTAATTTTTAATATCATATTATTTGTTTCAGTTCATAAAACTCACATTTTAATTTTCGGATTCAAATACAAAATTGTCTCATACTAAGAGAGATGTACGTGTCTATACATGTAGATCAACAAAGAGTATCATGTGTGGAACTTTGGTCATGTGTAGGATCGACCATTGAACTAATTACTAGTGTTCGACCTTTAGCCCCTAATTATTCATTACTAGTGTTCGACCTTGTGCATTTGCACAGATGTAAATAAAATTAAATATTATAAGTTATATTTATGTATATAATATAAAAATTATAAGTTATATAATTGTATTATATTTCAAACATATAGTATTATAAGTTATATTTATGTATATAATATTAAAATTATAAATTATATAATAGTATTATATTTTAAAATTTGATCATTGGTTAAAATAAATAGTACACACGATTTGATTGTATACGAATCACTATATTGATTGCATAAAATGCAATAAATATATACTTTTTATAATTTTGAGTGATCATGACCAATTAATTAGCTGAAAAATATTACATTTATTATAACAATTGCTTATGTGATTTTAAGAAATTTTACTATGACATAAAAAAAATTAATTTATTAATAAACAACATCTTCATCATATAAAAAAATATTGATTTTAGTGTAAAATATAATTTTATGTAACTTTCATATATTATTTAGTATAAAATATAATTACTATTTTTAATATTAACTATTATATTATTCAATAAAAAATATAATTATTAATCAATTAATATAAAATATAATGGTTTTTGTCTTAATTAACCCAAAAAATGTAATGAAATATTTTCTTATTAATGAGATTGGGTGCATTAATGCCACATAAATAAAATTTATTAGGTTCTATTTATTAGGTTTTATTAATGATTTGCCACATAGGTAAAATTTATTAGGTTTTATTTATTAGGTAAAATTTATTGCTTAGCTAGCAATTCTATATATATAGATATTTGGTTTGGTTTTGTTTAATTTGGACTTTTTTATGAAAGCCTACAACGTTAAAAGTTGTTGCATGACTTAGCTATATATAAAGCTAAGATTGTTATTTTTGGACCATAATAAAAATTTTATTTCTCATAAATCCTTGTGGTAGGTTTCACCTGATCGTAGAGAAAGGAGTTTTCACAGCGTGACGCTAATACACGTATTATTAACCTTTAAATCATTAATTTTAATATAAGGTGCATCTTGTAAATGATAACCATAATCGGCAACCATATTTTGTCTTTAATACACCTAGTTAACGATCAAAAATTAAATATGTAATACAAGTAAAGTTGTTAAACAAAACTAGTCACTCAAGAGTTAAATTCTATCCATTAAAATTCGAGCCTGAGTTCGAAATACACTAGTTCGAACTCGACGCAGTTTATTTACACCACTCGACACAAAAAAATCTAATACGATTTTAAGAGGATCATAATAAGAGTACTTGATTATTATATTTGGATTCTATAATAAAATATAAAATGTATTATCCATATGGATAGTTTGTACTTTGTTGTATAAAGTACTATGTAAAATAAAAATATTCACGAAAACGACATGTTTAAAATTGTACATTCGAAAGGAATTCGATCCGACCTAATCAAAACCCCCCATATGGTCCACAAGGGCTAAATTTATCCAATCCGAGAACGCCACGTTTTATTCCTCCACACCATGTTGCGAATCTTCCAACTCCATTTTGACAATTTTTGTTCGCCAAAAAAAGGGAAAAGGAGCATAATAATTTCATTCTACTTTGGTATTTTAATTATGGATAACTCGTTTGTATTTTAGTTTCAATTTAATTTGACAAGACAAGAAGGCAACTTTTTTTTTATTTGAATAAATTGAAGCACAATAAATAAGACGTGTAATGTTTATTTATTCCCCTGGTTATCTAACTGATGTTATTTCACTCTCTCAAACTTCATTTTATTTTGTTGGTGTAGTGTTTGAGAATATTGACAAATCATTCATGAATAAGGTGTATGAGTGGATTGAACATTTTGGATTTGGGATAGAACATTTTGAATTCTCTAAATTTTCTCAAAATATTACTAATCAGGTTTCAAGAACCTCAATTTTCTAGTAAGATGTCGTTCTTCTCTTTTTTCACATTAGTTAACTGACACGTAAATTTTTGGCAATCGGTTTGTCGATTGGTGATCCGATTTGAAAAAAATAAAAGACCATGTCCTATATATTATAAAAATTGAAAATTTAAGATTAAAATGTAAATAAAAAAATATGAGTTAATATACAATTTAGAAAAAAGAAAAAAAAAAAATCTACAATTTAGACTTTCTGTTTTTGGTTCAACTCATTTTCCCCTTTGCTTTGAATATGCAGGCTTTATACGGGCATCAAAACTGGGCGGGAACGCGTTTAGTCACCGCCCCTCAGCTCGGAATGAATATGCTTCGCTTTACATTACACATCCTTTCTCTCTCTAGGGTTCCTTTTTCTCTCTCTCTCTCTAGAAAATACTCATTTCATTGCGCTATAAATACATAGCTTGCCTTGCCTTCAGAGCTACGCACCGTGCTCCATTCGAGATCTGAGCTTCAGTTCCACCTTCTCGGAGACGCTCTGTTTTTCAGCTTCAATCTGATAGTCTCTGGTACGTCTGCTCATTTTTTGGTGGTTATTTTCGAGATTTGGGTAGATTTGTTATGTATTTTTTTTGGCGGTTAATGAATATATATGATTTTCGACGTTAGAAGCATTGTTCAGTTCATTTTTGTATATTTTTTCCCCACTTCTTGGGGTTGAATTGGAATTGGAGATTTTTGTGCAGCGGTTGGTTTTTGTAAGTGATGATCGTCTGGTTTGATGCTACCTTTACATTTGGTAGGTTTAATCTGTCGATAATCTCTCCATAATCGCTGTTTTTGGTGTATGCTCTCGTGTATATAATCTGTACTATACATAACTCATAAGGTCACGCTTGTATGCTGGCAAAACATCTCGGATCTAGGAGTTTACATACGAGCTTCATGTTGTATTTGTTTGGCATTTATGAATATACATATGATTTTCAACGTGGAAGAATGTTAAGTTCATTTTTAGTGCAATTGTTTGGTTTTTGTATGTGACGATCTTCTGGTTTGATGCCAATTGCCATTATTCATTGGGTAGGTTTAATGTCTCCATATCTGCTGTTATAACTGTATGCTCTCATGTGTATGATCTGCAATATGCATAACTCGTGAGGTCACACATGTATGCTTGCAAAAGATCTCGGATCTAAGAGTTTACATACGAGCTTCATGTTTGGTGTTTGATAGCAGTAGCTAGTGCACATGATTATTTGAAACAACTGTGAATTTGGTGCATTTTAGCTGCGTTGTGCATCTTCAGTTATCCCCACTCTGATTACTCTGCTTTTGAGTTTGTATAGGTGTTTTGTGTTTTGAAGTTCACGAGTAAATAGTTATCCATAGTTGAAGGATTATAGCAATTGAGAAGTTGAAAGGGTTTTAGGATTTTTGTTTTGCTGAATTTTTTGTTTATTTTTTTTAAATAAAAATAAAATAAAATATCTGGTTCATTAGAAGCAATGGATTAATCTTTGTGGAGCCAATTAGGTTGTCATCAAACTGACAATGATACTGTGAACCATTTTTTAGCTTTAGCAATACTTCATTAGCACACTTTTTCGTGTCCACTTTCCCTTTATGGAATACTTAACTTTGCAGGCAAAATTGCTTCAGCTGTGTTTTTATGCAGTTGATGATGATTGGGTAACCTCTGAGGTGTGCTTGGCAGCCCAAAGTACACATTAATAATGAATGTTTGCTAGATAGTTTGTTTATAAATATCCCAAACATTACAATAATTGGATGTCATATAATATATTCCTTTCTCTGTTTTATTCAATTTCCTGGTCAAATACATACAGCAAAAGTAACTTCTGCATTTCAGGCATACCAGTACAAGGTGTAAGAAATGTTGGAGCTGCAATAACTTCATAGTTCTAACATCAATGATTTTTTTTTTTTTTTTTTTTNCAATGAAATGTGATATCAATATGTGCATATTATTAATAATTTAAAGCTTATCTAAACGAGATTTGCCTCCTGCAGATATGGCTCCACCAATTGAGATGCCCGACAAATCCCTTGTTCAGAAGATATCACATTTACCTCTTAATGAAAGGATACTCTCTTCACTGTCCAGGAAATCTGTTGCTGCTCATCCTTGGCATGATCTAGAGATAGGTACTTATACTCTCTCGAACTTATGTTCAAACCTATGTTAGCGTTCATCAATTGAATACATTTCGTCCTTATGTCTATGCAGGGCCTGAAGCACCAATAATCTTCAACTGCGTAAGCATATTGACTTACTTGTGATAAACCAGAGAAGACTTAGATGCTAATGTTGAAATGCCTTTGGTTGATATTGCTTCAATTCTTTTGTTTATTTAACTTGTAAAGACATCATCAAATGCTAGTTAAGGTCCTGAGTTGTGAACATTGTAATTAGTTGTCATCTGATGTCAACGAGTGTTTTGGCTTGTAATACCTCATCACATGGTTCAAACAGTTCATCTGATGTCATTTTTCCAAATAATTGTCTAGAGTTATCAGTTTGCTACTACAGTTGAACATGGTCAACTAGTTTTTCAGTTTTCTCATTGTGATTCCAGTTGCACTTTAATTTAGCCAACTTTTAATTTTTTTCATTTTACATGTTCAACCATTGGTTTTATTCTTCATCAAACTTATAGCTTTTTTCTTTTGCAGTCTTTTCTTGGATATATATTCCTTCTTACTTATTCATCTCTCTTTGGATATCAATAAACCTTTCTTCTTTAAACCTCCCTTTAACCTTTGTATGTATATTAATTTGTCATCTCTACTAAGCTCAATCATTTCCATCGGTCACCCCTTTCCAGCATTATCCACATTAATCCTTTTGGATTTAAACTACATAAATACTCGTATCATCTATAGCAATATTGCGCCATGTCTATTGTTTTAACCAATTTATGGATCAGTCGTTTTCTCTTCTGCCTCATTAATTTACAAACACGGTCTTGTGCTATTTCCTAAGCTTCTCAAACCAACACTGGTCCTTGCAGGTGGTTGAGATAAGTAAGGGAAGTAAGGTGAAATATGAGCTCGACAAGAAAACTGGTCTGATCAAGGTACTAAACCAGGCTTTTTAACTTGTCAACTATGTTATGTCGATTAAAATTTGAAAGTACCAAAAAAAAAATCCTTGTTCCTTCAGGTCGATCGTATTCTTTACTCATCGGTTGTGTATCCCCATAACTATGGCTTCATCCCTCGTACGCTTTGCGAGGACAGTGACCCAATGGATGTATTGGTCATTATGCAGGTAGAGATCTTGGGACATCTTTTAGACCCTTAAAAGTTAATACCACATTTTACAGTCTAAGAAGTTTTTATTATCATTTAATTTTTTCTTGAAACATATTCAGGAACCAGTTCTTCCTGGCTGCTTTCTGAGGGCCAAGGCAATAGGTCTCATGCCCATGATAGATCAGGTGAACTATATACTTTTTTACTACAGCACATTTTTTTTATAATTCATGGAACTACTTTTTTTTTTTTAATTATTAATACATTAATTGTTTTTGCATTAGGGAGAGGGAGATGACAAGATCATTGCCGTTTGTGCCGATGATCCAGAATACCGGCACTATACTGACATTAAGGAGCTTCCACCCCATCGATTGGCTGAGATCCGCCGTTTTTTTGAAGACTGTATCCTTTCTAAAACAATAGCTCGTTAGTTCCGAATATTCTCATGTTGAGAAATATGCATCTTGGTTTTTTTTTTTTTTTCAATCTCACTTTACTCGAATTGCGAACCGTCACCTTAACGATTAATCAGACAAGAAGAATGAGAACAAGGATGTTGCAGTTAATGAGTTCCTTCCTGCCACAAGCGCCTACGAGGCTATTCAGACTTCCATGTGAGTGATTCTGTTCCTTTTCTCTTCAAATAACTTTTGGTTTGACGTCGTTAAATAATAAAACCAAAGTTTAGAGGTTTTGATTAACGTAACACCTTTTTGGGAGTGGACAGGATAATTCTAATTTGAAATATGAATGGACCTCTTTTGTTAATTTGGTTAGAGTTAAACAACACGGCATTTTTTTTCGTATATTGTATTTCTAGAAGTCGATTATTTCTTGAACGGGTCAGGTAAAATTTCTGTTTTCTGGTGCAGGGACCTGTACGCAAACTATATAGTCGAAAGCTTAAGGAGATAGTTTGGTTCCGTGCCTGTCCCAATGGGAAGGGCAGTGCTTCATTTTCCGAGTTTATGCTCTAAAAGAAAATATTCATATATACTTATTTGCTTTTTATATACGATTTCGAGATGATGACGAATAACTTCTTCAAGTTGGTACATTGTTCGGCACAGCTTCTTGATCGAAGGTGTTTAGCTTCAAAATATGGCATTTGCTTACTGAGAAGGGGTTCACTGTTTTTAGTGCTTTACTGATTTTCCATTGTTTTCTTGTTGGCACAGATGAATGTAAACAACACCCTCATTTTATAATATTATGGTTTACAGGTTTTGTTTTGTTACTTGGTTTAGCATTCACATGTGTTTATCTTTTCTTCTTTTGTCACTGCTGTGATTCTCTTGTGAAATCCCATACTTATATAAGCTATTTTGATTTTTTTTTTTTAAATTCTAATTTAAAATTGAAATCCCCAACCGTATCCTAACTCTATTACATATTCAAAAAGTCTCGGTCCCATAACATTATGAAATTAAAACTCTTTCTTTAGTTACAGCACAAAACCAAGGAGGATACAAGATTGATACGAAGGTTGGACAAAACCTTAGGAAAGAAAATAAACGTCTATATTGTGAATAGGGGTATAAACGAGCCAAACTCGAGCTCATGCTGCTTGAGAACTAGGCTCGTTAACTTACCAAGCTCATAATCGAGCTCGAGCTTGAACTTGGCTTGTTATCATCGAGCTTGGGCTTGAGCTTGGCTCGTTATCAGTATTAATGAGTCGAGCTTAAGTCGGAATTGACTATTACCGAGCCGAGTTATAAAAGTCATTTTTCGAGTCTTATCGAGTTGAACCGAGCTTAACTTGTTAACCTAACAAACTTTAAATAAGCTCGGCTTGACTCGTTTATCAAACGAGCCGAACCGAACTCATGAGCTGTTCGTTTAATTTAACAATTCTAATTATGATGTACTATGTCGATACTTCGTAATCTGGTAGTTTGACCTAGTGCATATAAATTTAATTAATGCAAATTTTAAAATACACTTGATCAATTTAAAGTATAAATATATTTTAAATTTAAAAATTTTGTATATATTTTTTAGTTTTTCTTATATAATATGTCAATGAATCATTCCTTGACGGAATTAGGTTTCTCGACGAAATTAGGTTTGGCATTCATATTACATATATAATTAAATAATTATATCCAACTTTATAATTAAATTTAAATTATATATTGTAGTAATTAAATAAATTTATTTATTAATCACAATATAGAATATAAAAAATAGTAATTATAATAATATAAAATGAGTAAATTGTAAAAAAATTATATTATTTTATATAAAAATGAATTACTGCGATATTAGGTTTGGGCAAGTTACTGCCCAAACGTGGCAAAACGGATAATGGATTAGGTATTTAGGTTACTACCCATATTATGATGATATTACATATAAAATAATGTCATTTTATTATAATATTCAATCAGTTGAATGAATTAGGTTGTTGTCCAAGTTGATTAAATTATTTTTACGTGATATTTAAAATAATCGAAAAACATGACACAATTAGGGTCGATCCCATGTGACCAAATTATCGGTCAGTTTGGTTGGTCCAAATCGATAATCGAAACAAATTTAAATTTTAATATTAAATTTTTTTTATTACGAGAAATGTGATGTAGTCAAAACTCTAAATTATCATATTAAGATGATTTTATGATGACATGTTCAATGATTACGAATATTTATATATCATTTAATAATATTGTATTACAACTTTTATTAATGTACGGTAAATTGAAGGTTCTAAGAACTGAACCGTCCTCAAACCAATTAAGTTATTCATTCAATGGTATAATGGATGGACCATAATTAATTTATTAATATTTTAATATACATAGTACATGTTATAATAAATTTATATAAAAATATTAATTAAATATCAGAAAAATTTAAACTTTTAATGTTTAACTAATTGATCAATAGTTTATAAATCTCCATATTGTTTAAATATAAATTTTTATTGATATTAATAATAATTTTCAAGTGTCACAAAATTTATTTTTTAAATTATATTGATATTAATAATAATTTTAAAATGTCAAAAAATTTATTTAAAAAATCGTTCCAATCCTACCGGTTCGACCGACTGGTGTTGACTGGCTCGCTAGTAAACATTTTATTTGAGCGAACCGACGGTTCGATAAACCGATTCTCGGTCCATTTAGTCGAACTGTTTAATCCAATTGGACAAATCATAATTAATATTATTTATATATCCAAATATCTAATTTGTAAAACAATCATAATATTATTATTTTTCAGTGCTATCACTACTTCACTGGCCATAAGTAGATTAAGTAAAATAATACAAGTGATATACTAGTGAATAAAATAATTATCAAGTGATTGTGATACACAAGTCCCATTGCAATTTGACACAAATATCTTACTCTACTACATCTTTCCCCTCTCTCCTCACCCACACTCATTTCCCGTCCTCAAAACCCCTAAAACCCTTCCTAAAACCTCACCGTCCCCAATCACCGCCACGACCATGAACACCGGCGGCGGCTCCCCCTTCACCTCCACCACTGCCACTCCGAGCTTCGACAACCTCCTCCTCCAATCCCTCATGTCGCGCCTCCAGCTCCGCCCCCCCGGCCTCCAGTCCCCCTCGCCCTTCGCCGCCGGGAAGTCCCTCGAAGACCTCCTCCTCTCCGATCTTCTGCTCAACCTATCCGACTCAGGCTCCGATTCTGAATCCGACGGCGACCTCTCCTCCTCCAAAACCCAACTCTCCAGGGAGGAATCCCGGCTCGAGAAGGAGATCGTCCGCACAATCCTCTCCGGCGAGATCGAGAAGCTGAAACCTAATTCCGGCCAGGCGGTAACGATCGGCGAGCACCACATCTGCGTGGGGTTTCAGGAGGAGATCGGGTCGGATTACCGGGTCTGGGAGTGGCACGGGCATATCATGCTGTTTGATGAGGAGAACGGGTATACGCCGGAGTATATTTATGGGAATTACTTCGAGAGGCTTGGCGCAGGAAAGAGGAAAATTACGAGCGAGGATAAGAAGAAACGCAGTGTTGATGATGACGATGAAAAGGCCGAGGAGGCTGAGAAAGTAACGAATGGAGGGCTGAAAGAGCTGATCGAAAGTGGGGAATCGGGCAGTGGGCTGATCCTTCATCGGAATATGAATGCGAAATCCGGTTCGCCGAGGTTTGTACAAAACAAACACCCCCTACTTTTTATGCGTTTATAATTTTCCTATTTGAAAATTGAATTTGCTGAAAATCTTATATGTGCTTTGTGTTTTTGAAGTGTTTGATGCAATTTTATGCCTACTTTTTATGCGTTTATAATTTTCCTATTTGAAAATTGAATTTGCTGAAAATCTTATATGTGCTTTGTGTTTTTGAAGTGTTTGATGCAATTTTATGTACTGTTGCAACTTGAGTAAAATTTGCCAAAAGCATGTAGTTCTACATTCTCCATGTTTTTTTTTTGTGTGTGGTTGCATTATATGTATGGTTGAATGTATATAGGTTTTCACAATACTATGCATCAATGAGCCGGGTTAGCTTGGGTAATGCTTGTGTGGTGCTTGTTCACGTGCTGTTTGAGCTTTGCAGATGTAAATGTAGAAAGCCTGTAGTTTTAATTAGTGAGTTGTTTGTGTTTTCCATCTTTTTGTAGCATCTGAATGCTTTCTCTGTGAATGATCGATTAGCCGAGGTTCTTGTCTGAACTATTTGATTCTTCTTTTGTTTACATGCTTATTCATGTGAAAGTTTCTCCTTGGATACATGTTGAACTTATATCGTGGGCACATATAAAATCATGATCAAAGGGTCTACGTTGAAAGTTTATATGGTAGAATTAATTCAAGAGTGTTGGGGGTTCTTGAAAATGGTTTGGGTGAATGGTGAAAAACAGATAATTACTAAGTTATGTAATGGGAAGGATTGAAAAAGACACGTTGATTCTCATATCACCTATGAGTCTAGTCTATCAGCTGCAACAAATTGATTGGTTTTAATCAACATGGGTCGAGTGTAACTATGGAATCACCTATGAATATCTCAATACATATGTATAAACATTGATCCAAAGTTTTGGCTCTGATTAAACGAGAAATGTAAAACTACTTCGCTGCTATATATAGAATCATAGATAGTCTAACATTTTCTCCGAAGGGCTGCTTAAATCTTGATAGCAACTCCTTTTAACATTATTATGACAACATTTCTGAATATGGGCATTGTTGAAATTTTGTATGCCTCTCTACTGAGCTAATTTATGTTATGAGTTCAAAATCTCGGCTTTTAAACATCCATTCGTTCGAAGTAAGCAAATGACTGTATGAAATATTCGTGCGACTGTGAAGTAGATACTTTTAACATCAGGACACTAATCATTTCTTATGTATCTGTAACCTTTAAGAATTATATCCATCCCATCTGATTTTAAATATCTTTCATAAAATTGCTTATTTGTTCTCAATATCTTTTTAACACTCGGTGTTCTCTTATCCATTTTGGATTTTTGTTATTGCCATGACAGGTTTGAAGTAGGGGACACATCCAAATCCGAATAAAAAGACCGTTTTGTGGGATGAAACTAATGATCAAACTTGTGTGCTTTTTCTTTGTCGAGCCTGTTGCTCATTTTTCGAGTGCTCTATGAAGGCTCCTTAAGAAACATTTGATTTTTCTTTTTCACCTACAGCATGAAATAGTGAAAATACATGGGTTGTGGCTTTAGTTCAGGATTTTTTTTTTCTTGCTGTTAATCTGTGGTTGACTTGTTCCATGTCTGTTTCATTACTGTCATGTTTAAGAATTTCGTGAATAAATATGGTTTGATGTTTTCATTCATTTTTGTTCCACAATTTTTTTTCAGAGTACTGCTTATTTATTATATACTCTTCTTATTTCATCACTGTCACTGTCATTCTTAATCCCACTAACATAACCTTAATCAATCGTTATCCCACTATCATAACCTTAATTGTAAGAGTAAACCAATTCATTTTTGTGGTTGTCATTCCCATTTCAAGTTCTCTAAGTTTATCTAGGCACTATTGATTAATCACAGCTTAGGTTAACCAACTTAAAACAAACAAATAATAACTAACGGTTCAAGTTTCGATTTTCAATTCCAAATATAGCTGTAAATGGGTTGAATCAAGCATGAGCTAAAACCTTTATCAAGCCGATTTTGAGTCAATAGACGATTTTGAGCTTGGCTTGTTTGTTAAATTGACAAATCAAGCTATAACTTTAACCCTATTTTGAGCTTGGCTGGTTTGTTAAATTGACAAATCAGGCTATGACCTTAACCCAGTTCAAGAAATTACACAAAAATGACTTCCTCAAAATAAGTAGTTAAACAAGCCCAAACAAGACGACCCAAACTCGAGTCATAACAAATCCATCCAAACTTGAGCTTGAAGCCGGGCCAAGCCTACAAGCAAATTGATCCAAACTTGGGCATTAACAAGCGGAGCAAATTAACACTTCTTAGTTCCGAATAAGAACATCATCCATCAAAAATCAATTCTCTTATTCCAAATNTCATCAGACTATCATTCAGTAATCAAAACTCTCCAATCAACAACAGATCCCAAAAAAAGGGAAAATTAGGAAAAGAGAAAAACAAAACAAAACACAACAAACTGCCCTAAGAGCTCGTGAATTTGGTAACCGCCTTAGTTCCCTCGGAAACGGCGTGCTTGGCGAGCTCGCCAGGGAGGACGAGCCTGACGGCGGTCTGGATCTCGCGCGACGTTATCGTCGGCTTCTTATTGTACCGCGCCAGCCGCGACGACTGGACGGCCAGCTTCTCGAATATGTCGTTGATGAAGCTGTTCATGATTCCCATGGCCTTGCTCGAGATCCCGATGTCCGGGTGGACCTGCTTCAGCACCTTGAATATGTAGATCTTGTACGTCTCGCTGTTCTTCTTCACCTTCTTCTTCCTCTTCCCATCGCCGCCCTCCTTCGAGATCTTCTTCTCCGCCTTCGGCGGCATTTTCTCCGCCGTGGATGGCTTCTTCTCAGCCTTGGGAGCCATTTGGTTATCGTTTTCTCCGATTCGGAAAATTTGGAGGACGAGAAATTAGCGGGATTGATTAGAATTATTTATGGGTAGAAAACTGTGGTGGTTTATATAAAGAGAAAAGTTTGTTCTTATTGGTTCGTTCGGATTAGAAGCGGATCGATGACGTGTATAGAGTTTACACCGTTAGATGGGGATTATGCATCTATTAGTATAATATTAATCTACGATGGCTAATACTTGGGCCCGTGTGACCGTGTCTAGTTGGGCTTGTTTATTGGGCTAATTCTACAATCTCACAAGTTGTTCTAGCCAATCAAGTAGAACACCAACCTTTTGAATTGTATCACCCTTCAATACAAAAAAGTTTCATTGAAATCGGAAATTGCTTGTACCGCCAATAACGAATCAGTGAACACATGAACAATATCAAATAATTTCTGCCAAATGGTGTGTGTGAAACATGTATCTTGATTATGTGAAGGTCTAAGAAATAACAGTTTTTGCATTAAAATTTAACCAACAAAAAGAAAAGATGTGCATTGCACTAAATAGATCGAATTTTTGCCTCAACTCAATATTCGGTCACTCACAAAAGCATCGAGACGGAGTTTAGAGCCTATGAGTTATGAACAGACAAAGAGAAATGAGTAGCTGCTACAAATGAGGAGTTTAGAGCCCTAGCAGTCTAGAACAGAGTCAAACATGGAGTTTATGTTACTTACCATCGAGAAAAATGGCTACTGGTTCAAAGTGGGTGTTCACTATTAAAAGAAAAGCAAATGGAGAAGTTGAGAGGTTTAAGGCTTGGTTGGTAGCAAAATATATAATCAAATTGAGGGAGTTGATAATTTTGAAGTTTTCTCACCAGTGGCTACATATTTTGAGTTGTAACATATTTTGAGATGGAATGAAATATAATTTCAGATTTTTTTTTTGGTTCCTTATATTTTCTTCACCCAACCACTCAATCCCGATTGAGTGTGAAAAAGACCAGTGCGGATGAGAAAATGTGATTAGGGTTCATTTGGTTACCTCTTTCACAAGGCACAGAGTAGGTAAAATCCTGCAAAAACAAGAGATTCTAGGATACTGAAATGAGATATCATGTTTTTCGTGTTAGTTAAATATTTAGTTCATTAGCTTGAGTAAGATATTGACAGCTGGTTTATTAGTTCGACTGAGTAATGTTGTTAGGTTGACCATGGTCATGTTATTAAAGACCGTAGATCAAGCCAAGCTCATCTATTGTTACTACTCCCACATTTAGTTACACAGCTTGAAATAATTTAAAAGGAGCTGCTATCGACATTTTGACGCGAGTGATTTGCAATTAATCAAGTGAAAAATGTTTGGTTGACAAGTCCTCAAAATGCTTTAGTCATATGTGAATAGGCCATCCATATAAGTTGCAACATTAGAAATCCATCCAAAACACCATTCCAAGCTGTTATTTTTAAGACATCACAATTTTATAAGTTACGAACTAACATCACAATTTTTAAGACAAAAAAAGGTGAAGATTACTTTTTTCTTGGTCTTTACAGACACTTTCAATCTATTTTCTGTGCCATTTTTGTCAATTTAGACTACCAAATTGGGTAAATGTACTACTTGTGCCTATCAGCCTGTTATTTTTTCTTAATTGCATGTTTTTCGCAAAACAAACCTTTACAAATGCTGATAATCCTTGGTGAAGTCACTGAAGTGAATGCATAATTCAAAGAACTCATTACCATAATTACTCCACACCAACATCACTTAAGTGAATAAGTCATGATAAAATCAAAGCTAGCAAAACATAAAGAGTTATACACTAGAACAGACATTTTTTCATCCTACATGCAACTGTAATGTAATCACCAAATTTTTCATTATTATATAAAAACCCACCAATGTATATGTATGTACATATCTATCCAACATTAAAAATTGTATAAAGAGTTAAATCCTCCAAAGTCAAATACTATCACTCACCAAACACCAATTGAGCTCATTCCACCATCCAATACTTTCAAAGATATTCTTCATTTCTTCACCATGATATATCATTCAAACTCAAGAAAACACATAAACATCAAAGTAAAGAACTAACCAAAACAAAGTAAATAAATGCATGACAATTGACACATAAACTGAAAGAAAGTATCTTTCCAGGAGATTCAATTCATGAGATAACAACTAAAAAAAAGAGATAGCAGTACAAATTACTCAAGTTATAAACAACACAACCCCTAAAAATACCCACAAAACACAACTCCCTAAGTGAACCAAACAACAGTCATTAAATCACCATCATTCAACATGAAAGAACTTTAACTCAAGCCTTCTTGGGGGACTTGGTGGCCTTGGATGGAGATTTAGGTGCCTTCTCAGCTGCCTTCTCGGACTTCTTGGGCAAAAGAACCGGGTTTATGTTTGGTATAACTCCACCATGGGCAATGGTCACACCAGCAAGAAGCTTCCCAAGCTCCTCATCATTCCTCACAGCAAGAAGAACATGCCTTGGTATGATCCTGGTCTTCTTGTTGTCTCTTGCAGCATTACCAGCCAACTCCAAAACCTAAGTAGAGTTTTCCAAAATTCAACAGATCAGCAGATGATATATAGAGCCGCATTGCTTGCAAATACCAAATAAGCACGCATTATACACACAAATGAAGAAAATCCCTAATTAAAAATTAGGGATTAGGGTGTTCAACCAATTTCGTATATGCCGACACCCAAAACAAAAGAAGCATTTTTTCTTTGAAAAAACTCAAAATTCCAGAGCAAACCCTAGACACAAATCCCACAATTTCAATTTCAGCTACTACATTAAACAACAGAAAATTAAAAATCGAGATGAATAAATCACTAATTACACAGATCACAAACCTCAGCAGCAAGGTACTCCAGCACGGCGGCCATGTAAACAGGAGCGCCGGTTCCCACCCTCTGGGCGTAGCGGCCCTTCTTCAGGTACCGGCCGATCCTACCGACCGGGAACTGCAGACCGGCTTTCACGGATCGGGAAACCGGCTTCTTCTTCGGACCACCGCCCTTCCTCCCGCCGGCACCCTTCTTCACCTTCGTGCTGGTATCCATTTTTTTCTTTTGATTTTCCTTTTCCTCGCTTACAAGCACTGATTTGAGGAGACGAAAAATGGAAGTGTGGCTGAGATGTGATGGAAATTGAAAGTGGTGCTGTGGGTTTAAGTAAGAGAGAGGAACTGGGATGAGATGCAAAGAGGCGAAACTTCTTGACCGTTTGATTGAGAGTTATCGACGGCTGTGAGTAAAACAGTTGTGGATCCGAGTCGTTTATGATTGACCAATCAGCGTGCTCTTACAGGAGTCCTACATGGCTACAATGATGCTACGTCAAGTGAATAAATTAATGCATTGTTTTTCATTCTTATTAATTAAAGGAGTTTGTTTTTGTCATGTGGGTTAATTAATTAAGGAATTAGGCATTTTTTTGGATTTGGGAATGGGAGATTTTTTGAATTAAAAGGTGAGAGGTGATTAATTATAAAACTAAAAACAAAAAATTTAAAATATGTATAATAATAATAATGATGATGATGATAATAATAATAATAAAAATAATAATAATAATAATAATAATAACAATAATAATATTGATGCTGATATGGGATACTATACCTATAACCGGTCCAGTCCACCGGTCAGATAAATTGGAAGAACTGCTCTGGTCGAACAGAGTCTAAACGGGTTGATTATGGTCGAAGACCATAGCAACAAGAACTTTAGAAGAACATGTCGGTCCGAGCTCTGTGGAGGATCTGGTCAAACAAATGGTCATGTGATCGACCACTTCACATACCCAAGCACCCCAACGACTCACCTAGATTGGGTCGAGCATAAGAGCCTTCAAAAGAATCTTTACACACGCGTGTGGGACACGTGGCGTAATTTGATTGACCTATACTAATAATCGTTTCTGACACACCACTATGGGTTGTACGATCGGGCAGGCCGGGCAGCCCTTGGCAGCAAGCTCAGCTAACTCGGGCAGCTTCTATAATAGGTACCTCACCCCTATATACAAGGGTGAGCCTTGCAATTTTACAAAACATTACTATTATACTTTATTCTTATCACTAAAAACCAGATATAGTTTGAGACTGACTTGAGCGTCGGATACTCTTCACAGAATAATTCCTCCAGTGTGAGAGTTTGTGCAGGTGTTTGGCGTTCTACCATTTTGGTTTATTTAATTTTTCCAAAAAAACTAAAATATAATAGAGCATGTGAGGGCTTTGATTGGTGTTTTGTTATTTCATTTCTTATAAATCAATATTTATGGGCTGAATAAAATGAGGCTGACAACATTTATTTGTTTGCTCTAAATTCATTTATTTATTTATTTCATTTAAGAAACTAGTATCACTTAATCTGTGCAGGCTTTTTTTAAGAACAATTTAATATTAAAAAATATTAATATTTACTCACTTTTTTTAAATTATATTCTCTTTAGTTTTTACATTATTATGATACTTATGAAAACTTAATTTAAAAAATATTTAGTATCACATTTATTGTTTTATAATATAAAAATAATTACATAAATAGTTGTGTATTACTCTATAAATGCCTGCATAAAACTAATTTCAAGTCGATAACACCAAATACATTTTCCAAACCAATCAGTTATTTCTACCAAATACTCCCTCCTATTTTTATTATTTGTCATCCCAGCTTAATTGATCATTTGTTAAATAAATGTCGTTTTGACTATTTTGTACATATTTTTCCATTATTACCCTCATTTAACTAATAAATACACTACGTCTTTTCATATTCACTCTCCATCTTTTCTCAAAACATCAATCTCTATCCTCATTAATGAGGGTTATTATTGGCAAAAAAAAAATTCTTAATTATTGTGCAACTTCTCAAAACAACATTTATTAAAAATAGGAGGAAGTATAATTTTACAATAACTAATACTAACTAATATTAATATGTCATTAAAAAAGGCAATATTAATTGTTGATCAAACACCTCATACAAACAGTTATCCACTAACAATTTACATATAATTTGATGTAGCATAGCATCGCGGCTGGGATTAGAAGGAATGAGTTCGGCCGGCCTATTTGATGTGTTGGGGTCATAGGCTTGGCAGGTTAGGTAGAACTTACATGTTAATCGGGCCGAGCAAAGAAGGTGAGCTTAGCCCACAGAAGATTGGGGTTTTGGAGTCAAAGGTCACGGAACGGTAGTCGCAGGGGGGAGCTTCCGTGGCGATGGTGGCACTAGACTCGAGATCGGCAGTGTTTGAAGGATGTGTAATGGAGGTGTCATTACGGGGGTTTTGGAAGGCAGGTGGTCGAGGTCCGGAGCCTGAGGATAGCTGAGCTAATTTAGGAATAGAATGTCATCATGACGTGGCAGTCTCGTGTGGAGCTAGGAGTCTGATTCATCACGACCCAAAGAGATGGAGACATGGAGGATTCTGAAATCAGATAAGGCTAGATGAGAGACATAGACGGAAAGGGACTCTCGGTTGCATAAGAAGTCTTCTACGACCCAACTACTGAAGCCTCTATAAAAGGGACAGGTTTACACCCACACACACGACATATATTCATAAGTTTTGTCTCACCACTTATCTAGCTTTCTCTCGAATCTACCACTTACTTGAGTGTCGGAGCGCCCACGCCAGGACCACTCCTGGCGTGTTTTGCAGGTACCGGTGGTCGAGAAGACTCAACTCAGTTCGAGAGGAGCGGACCACTCCCGGCGTGTTTTGCAGGTACCGGTGGTCGAGAAGACTCAACTCAGTTCGAGAGGAGCGGTCGAGCGGTTCGATCAAAACCAGTTTTGATTCGCTACCTAAAAGGCCCACTTATTTCAACGTAAGAAAAAAAAAAATGGATCAAAATTCATGTCCTTCCCCTTCATTGTTTCAACTTGAAGGCACTCCGAACTATCGCCAGCATCTCTGGCACCATCCTAAAAGTTGATGATGCCACACGGAGCAAAATCTGCCTCCACTATGCACGTTTTTCCGTAGCTATGAACCTCAAATTCCCCTTCACTCTCCTATCAGCATTTCTTACGTCAAACTCAATATTGAGTTCAAACGATTACTAAAATATTGCTCTCGATTCTTTCATATAGGACCCGATGTCTCATCTTGTTATATAAAAGCACGACCCTTCGTCACTCCAAATATCGAGGAAGACAAGAAAACTCTTTATAAATAATCTCCATAAACAACTAACCCCTCCCCACCTCCCATCACTTCCTCCGCCCCTAAACCCCCTACCTCAATCTATCCCCCTCCTTCTAGTTCCCTCAAACCTTCTTCCCCGGACCTGGCCGCCGTGTCCCTAGTCTCGGTTCCAACCATGAAATTTCCCATCATCTTCCTCCTGCCCTCCATTCCTGATGCGGGACCAAAAAATGAGTCTGACTAATTGGAGTCAGGACCACCTAAGCCCAACTCAGTTATTGTTGAGTCTTGTGCTTCTGACTCTGAACCGAACTTCCCTGACCATTCTCTTCTCTTTTCATAATTCGAAAACAATTTATCCGTCACTAACTACCGCCACAAATTAAACACAACCCTTCCCACCCTTCTGCTCCACCTCATTGCCTCTTGACTTACACTAAGGCTATGCTTGGAAGTCAAATAAGCTAGCTTATATCTTATTTTGTTAGCTTATAAGCTTCATATATTAAAATAAGCCTTGTTTGGTAGGACAATGTTTTTTTAAAAAACTCGAGCTTATCTCATAAGCTTCTTTAGATAGTTTTTCATAGAAGCTAGTTGATTTTTTTTTTTTTTTTTTCAGCTAGCTTATCAGCTAATTTTACCAAACACTTTTATCATATAAGCTAGCTTTTCAGCTGTAATTCATAAGATATAAGCTCGAAAATTAGATATAAGCTATATGCTAGCTTATCAGCTATCAACTAGTTTTACCAAATATGACCTAACTCTTCGAGGAAGAAACATCGAATTAAGCACAGCACAAGACAATATAAACCGATCCTATACGACTTTATAGAGATTTGATGATGGAGTGGTAAAACTTTTTCTAATTAAATAATATCGATCAATCATTATTAAACATCGCATCAATTTTAATTTACTATGAATTCATTCACATAATTTTAACTAACCATCAGTTTACATCATTTCTCTTATATTTTTATATCAAATCAACTTTAATTACTTTATTATAAATATTATATTAATATAAATTAACAATTCTACTAACAACTACAATACTATTTTTTTTAAATTAACACCAATTAAGCAAAAAAATAAAATTCGTTCTAAGCGGATCTATTTATGAGTAATGATATTTAGTCTACTTGGATGACAACTCGGGTTACAACTAGGGTTGCAAACGAGCCGAGCAGCTCGCGAGCAATCGAGTCAAAGCTCGGCTGGAGCTCGAGTTTGACAGAACTCGAGTCGAGCTCGAGCACGAACTTGAGTCGAGCTCGAGCCCATATTTTGCATTGTCGAGCGACTCGCGAGTAGCTCGACATATATGAAATTACTAAAATACCCCTTGTGTATATATGTATTTAATGGTTATTTTACAAAAAAATGCTTGAAAAAATTTGAACCGAGCTTGAGCATTTTGAAATCGACTCGAGCTTGGCAGTCGAGCTCGAGCCTCTTAAATCAAGCTCGACGAGCTAGAGCTCGAGCCCGAGCAGCTAAAAAAAAATTCAATCCTGCTCGATAAGGTAATGTTCGACTCGATTCGGCTCGTTTGCAACCCTAGTTACAACCCAAGTGTAAATACATTATCAAAAAATTAAAAAATAATACTTTTACACTTGAATTGTAGACCAAGTTGTCATCCTAGTAGGTTCTACAGCATGTCGAGCTCGATTTATGATGCTCGAGCAGCTAAAAAAAAAAAAAATCAATCCTGCTCTATAAAGTCAATGCTCGGCTCAGCTCGACTCGTTTGCTGCCCTAATTACAACCTATGTGTAAATGTATTATCAAAAAATTTAAAAAATAATATATTTACACTTGAGTTTTAAATCAAGTTGTCCTCCTAGTAGGTTTTATACCATTACTCTTTATTTGTATCCAATCAACGACCTAAAAGTCACCGGTCAGCTCTCAAATATCCATTTCGAGAGATATTTTCGCCGTATATCGTATACAGCAGGAGAGAATGGTAATTTTGTAATAAGATAACGTACACAATATTGTATAGCATATACGTACAACATATCCATATATATACATTTCCAGCTGAAAAGACGCCATTAATTGGATAATCCATTGACCTTCAATCTCCTCCGCAAAATCACTGGTCTAAACGCCGCTCATTAGGGTTTCCATTTTTTCCGTCGCCAATCGTGCTCTGCCCTCCCATTCATGTGTCGATCTGATCTGATCGGATACCGCCGGAAAAATATAATCTCTCCGTGATCATTTCTTTCCCATCTTTATTTTTTTATTTTATTTTTTTCTGTTTAATTCGGCCTGTGCATAGTTTATGACTGTGTAGAGAAATCCGGTGAAAGATTGGTGAGCTTTGAATCGAAGAGCATCGAACAATGCATTCGGTGCCTTCCAACGATCTCTTTCTCGGCGCGCGCCCGCACTTCAGCTCCTTTTATGGCGGCTCGTCTTCCCATCGCCTGAAACATTTGCAGAAAAGCGATCGGCGTGGTAATCTTAGTAGTTAACGTTTTGCCGTATATTTTTAGCTGGTTTTAGCATCGGTTGATTTCAGATCGAGGTTTTTTTTGGAGCTGGTTTTGTCAATTTCTGACGGGGCGTTAACTTGTCGTGACGTTGCTGATAAGATTGGATTGAGTTTGTATTTGGAAACTGAGCTAATCTGAGCTATTGGATCTCTGATTTTATCTCCTTTGGGTATATTGTCTCGAGCATATTGCTTAGTAAATTTCGTGGCAAGGAAATAAACTCAGGTACTTTGAGGAGGTGATTTAATGTTGAATAATTTCATTTTTTTTTTTGTTTCTGTTTGATATATTGTTTTAGATGTGTTTATTATGTTTCTTGTTAATTATCGTGATGTGATCTTGCATACTTGTCGTTGTGCTTCTGTATCTATTTGTTCTTGCGCAGTTCTGTAATGAATGTATCTCAGTAGTTGGATATCTTATGCGTTTCTGAATACTTGTTACATTTCTCATGTGGAGGATTATTTTGTTATTTGTGTCTGATGTAAGATAAGAATGTTAACTGCGATTGACTTGATGAATATGAATGGTGAACTAGCCAATGAAATATGGTCATAAATGTACCTGTATCTGTTGTCTTAGTTCAACTTATCTGACAAATCTAAATGGTGGATCAGAGATGAAACATGGTTATGAATGCAGCCATATTCGTAGTCGACAAATTCTCGTTTGGCATTGAGGTATTGCATCAGTAACTGAACAGTCATTAAATAAAAGATTATTCATTCCATGTATATTCTACATCTTGTTCCTTATAATGTTCTATATAATTATATTCCTTTCCTCATGCTGGTCTTCTTTCTCATAGATCACACCTTGTTGTATATTGAATTGGATCCTGTGGTGGTTCTAATCATGGGACTGCTGCCCATTGCATTTCCATGTTATCTCGTGTAGTTTGTACAAAATTTGACTCCTATAGATTTGTGTCCTGAATTTTGAACTTAATTGTCCATGGCCTTTTTTCTTTCAGTTGTTGCTATAGTAGATGGAAGTGTCTGTTCCTGGCAATACATCGCATTCCTTGGATAGTAGCTGTGGGTCTTTGACTGCCGATCCACACAATCTAATCCAGAACAACTCAGAGGATCTTTCTATGAGTGACCTCAAAACATGTTTGACCGAGCTTCTGAACATTGACGAGAACGGACTATCAACCAGTGGCTCTCACCTTTCTCCCGAGAAGAATTGTACTGGAAATGCGGTGAGAGAATCTGATTGCAAAGACTTGGGCAAGAATGTCTGTGGTGGTAGGGCTACTGTAAAATGCTTAAGCAAATGCGCCACATTTCCGCCTGTTCATGAACCTAAATCTTCCGGAGATGTCATAGTGGGTGAGAAAGGAAAGCACGTGGAAGATACAACTATTGAAGTCTCTGAAGGAAACGGCTCTACTAAACCTGCTAATCCATGTTATGCACGATCCACATCGTTGCCAGTAAGTTCTTTGAATCTTTTAACTCGATGGCATTTTACGCATTCATGTGAAGGTTGTTTTAGCTTTACTTAGCACAATGAGTTTCCCTCTAGTTATTTTTTCCAAAGGTAAGCATTTTTTTTAACCGGATGACACTTCACATATTCATTTGAAAATTGTCTTAGCTTTACTCAGCAGCAATGAGTTTTCCTGAGCTAGTTGTTGTAGGGTAACGGAACTGAAGCTGTTATCTGATTATGTGAATTCCAAGCAAATATTTTTGTCCTAATTTTTTCCGAAGGTAAGCATTTCTTTAACCGGATGACACTTTATGTATTCATTTGAAGATTGTTTTAGCTTTACATGGCAGCAATGAGTTTTTTCCTGAGCTAGTTATTGTAAGTTTGTAACGTAATGGCACTGAAGATGTCATCTGATTATGTGAATTCTTAGAAAATTTTGTTCATCCTAATTTCTTCCAAAGGTGAGCATTTTTTTATGAGCCTGCCTCTCTAAGGTAGTTTCCAAAGGTGAATTCTTAGAAAATTTTGATACCCCGTGTTCTTGCTGAAGCTTAAATTGTTTCTCTAAGGTAGTTTCCCCAAAATCAAGAAAACAACAAACCAAGAATAAAAACACATTTCACAGATTTGTATGTGTATAAATTTAATTACTTCTATTTGTCCCAAAGCATTCGATAAAAGAAAAAAAGCATGTGTACGTTACTAGCCAATAACTGGATTGCGAATAATCCTACTCTCCATGCCTAATAACCTCTCTCAGGTTCCCCTGAAGCTCATATCCGCTATGAAAGGCAGCCGTGAAAAGCACAACAATGGTACATCACCCAAGAAGCTATCCGTGGTGTGGGCTCCCGATGTTTACGACCCGATTCCAACTTCGGTCTCACACGTACCGACTGACAGGAACCAACGCCATCGGAATAATGGCAGAAAATCGGGAAAATACAAGCAGAAGAATAGCGGCAAATCATCATCCTCACGAGGTGGCAAGAGCAAGGACAAGAAACAGGCCCGGAAAAGCTCTGGCGGGCCAAGTAATAGTAATGGTAAGCTCAAACAACCTTTTCCTATTGGGGGTGGAATTGTTTTGGGCCGAAGTTTGGATTACAATGTTGTCGGGGGCCCGGACCCGTTATGCGGGAGTAGTTTTCTGAAGGAGTCGGTCACCAAGTTGCATTTTCCTGTTGCTGAGGCTACTTGATGGGTGGGTGTGGCTTTTCTTGTTTGTCTGTGACTCTGTTGTGTCATT